GTCATCTTTTCGTACGTTCAGCACCGCGCGGCGCCTGTTCCGCCGCCAGTCCCGGGCCCACCTGAGCCGATTAAAATAGGGGAAATCACCCTCGAGGAGCTAAGCCAGTATAGCGGCAGCGACCCAGAGAAACCAATTCTTCTGGTGAGTGATATGCGCTTTTCTGTTGGCATCGCGATATGGGTGTCGATCGTGACTGGCATCGCAGTGTCTTATACTTCATCCTCTTTCCATAAATATTCGTTTCTCCCTCACTCTCCCTCCCCTTCTCCCTCTCTCCACCTCCCCTTTTCCGTCCCCTTCTTCCTCCCTCCTCCCTTCCCTTCTCCCTCCTCTCCCCCATCCCCCTCACCTGCCCAGGCCATCCGAGGGAGAATCTACGATGTGACTCGCGGAAAGTGAGTGCCTGTTATTTCAACCCTGTGTCTAAGTGTATGTCAAATGGGTGTCAAATCGTATGTAAACCTGGTTCTCTTGTCATCCACCCTTATCATCGAGTGCTTGTTATGCACCCTATGGCTTCTCCGATTGGAAATTCTGATATGCTCACAAGACCGCAGCATACTTCCCGAGTGGATTTTCCCTCATCTTCGTCACCTGCCTTTGCTATCGTCGGTTGCAAACGTAACTAGCCTCGCTAGCATCGTCAACCCTTCACAGATTACAACTCACCTAAGCACTTCAAACACTAGCGCATGAGGTGTTTGCAGGGAAGGAAGCGAGCTGAGGTGAGGTGAGGCAAGGCGGAGTAACAAGCACTGCACTGCACTGCATCCGCTTACCCCACCCCACCCTCCCTCACAGGCACTTATATGGCCCAGGAGGCCCCTATGAGGTGTTAGCAGGGAAGGAGGCGAGCTGCGCGTATACCAAGATGTCAACCGATCCCAAGGACGCCGTGGGGGAGCTGACAGGTGTCTCCTACTCTGAGATGGTGACCCTGTGAGGTCTTTGTAGGAAAAGAAGCGAATCAAGCCATGTTCAAAACGAAGCGGAAATGGATTCTTTCCTTCCCTGCCCGCCCCACCCTTGCCAACCCCCTCCCTACCCCCCCCCTCCCAGGCACTTCTACGGCCCTGGAGGCCCCTATGCAGTGTTCGCAGGGAAGGAGGCGAGCCGGGCGTTCGCCAAGATGTCAACCGATCCCAAGGACGCCGTGGGGGACCTGACAGGACTGTCCTATTCTGAGATGGAGACCCTGAGGGACTGGGAGTCGTCGCTGCAGTTTAAGTATGATGTGGTAGGGACAGTGAAGGGCGATGAAGGTGATGTTGGGGGAGAAGGCGAAGCGGGAGGTGCACAGGCCGCCGAGGAAGCAGGGGGGGCACAAGGAGAGGGAGGAGGGTCAGAAGCTGATGCCGGTGCAGTAGCAGCAGAAGGGGAGGGAGGGGAGGGAGCGGGGCAATGAGATGGTGGGGCAGAAGTCCTGACAGGGCTGACCTGACCTACCCTGAGATGGAGACCCTGAGGGACTGGGAGTCGTCCCTGCAGTTTAAGTATGATGTGGTAGGGACAGTGAAGGGCGGTGTGGGGGGTGTGCGGGGGGCAGAGGGGGCAGGGAGGGGAGGAGGAGCAGGAGAAGGAACAAGAGGTGATGTAGGTGCAGTAACAGCAGCAGGAGAGGGAGGGGAGGGAGGGGAGGAGGAGCAGGAGAAGGAACAGGAGGTGATGCAAGGTGCAGTAATAGCTGAAGGGGAAGGAGGGGAGGGAGCAAAGGGAGGCGAGCAAGGAGCTGGTGGTGAATCTCCACTTCGTAGGCTCAGCTTGTGGATCATGCATCATGACCCCCCCTGGCTGCTGTGCTAGCTAGGGTTACAACTTACAACTGACACCGTTGCAATACTTGTATTGTGTAACTCGGGTATTGCCTTCTCATGCAGTGCAGCCTGGTGAGTAAATTAGAAAAGCAGCCTGATTTGAAAAGCTTGCGTGCTGTCAGCATTCCGTGCAAACATATTGTTGATTGCCAAAAACGGTACATACAACATTTCTACTGTCTCCTGGGCTAGTACCTACCTGTTGCTTGAAAGCATTAATACGGTAAGTCAATGCGTTGTAACCGGATTCAACATGATGCCCCTACAGCTCCTTACAAGCTACACCCCCTCACACCCATGTCATGCAGCACTATGCTGGAACCACACTCATCCAACCTGCACACACACATCCCATAACAAACACGACAGCTCTTGCACATGTAGCAACAACACCCTCGCTCACATGAAGATTATAACCAAAACGAGCTACACAAGACTCACCCACACCAATACAGGCATCACAACCTACAGCATCTCCCCTTGTTCTTCAGGTCCTCCCACATTCTCCTCAACCCATCCTCTTCACCCGCCCCTCCCACCGTGTTATTCCTCCTCGTCATCCCCTCGTCCTCCAGCCGTCATCATCCCGGTCATATTCGCTGTCTAAGCCATACTCATGGTTGGTTCCCCAGTCCTCCATTTTGAGGCGCCTCAAAGAACGGGTTACTCCTCATCCTCGTCGCTCGCCCCCCACCCCCCGTCATCATCATCCCGGTCATTTTCGCTGTCTAAGCCATACTCATGGTTAATCTCCCAGTCCTCACCACCACTCCCTGCACCCTCCTCCCCCTCCCCGTCCGCCTCTTCCCCTTCCGCCACCACATCTCCCCCCTCCTCGCCCTCTGCCCCCTCCCCCCCTTCCTTCCCCCCTTCCTCCCCTCCTTCCTCATCTCCTTCGTCACCCGCCACTCCCTCCCCCTCCTCCTCGTCCTCCTCGTTCTCTCTTCCACGAAGGCCCCTTCTGTCTCGCCACGAGACCCAAGGGCACTCACTGATATCATACTCACGCAACGTTGGCATTTTCCGGATAGCAGACGGCACCCGGGCCAGCTTGTTGCACGCAATCACCAGCAGCACCTGCAGCTTGGGCAGCTTCGCAAACGACTCTGGCAAGCTGCGGACCTGCTTCAGCCCCACGAGCACCAACTCTTGAAGGGACGACAGCTCCCAGAAATTTCCTGGAAATCTCGAAATCCCAAGCTTGGTGAGCGTGCAGAACTGCAACGTCGACAGACTTGCGAAGGATCCTGGAAGTTTCATCAGCCTGTAGCAGTCAATAATCTCCAGCGTCTCAAGCATCTTCAGCTGCCCGAAAGACTCAGGCAGCCGCCTTATTGTATCGAGGTGAACCAGCTGCAAGACACGCAGCCCTGCCAGCCCTCCAAAGGCGTCAGGCAACGCCTCCAACTCTCCAGCTGCATCTATCCGGAGCCTCTTCAGGCGCGAAAGTTGACAGATGGCTTCGGGGAGTGATGTAAGGTAGTCCATCTCTAGGAGCTTCAGCTTCGTTAGACAGGAAAGCTGGCCAAGGGACGGACCAAGGGCCTGGAAAGGAAGAGACTTCACCTTGAGACTCCGAAGGGATGGAAGCAAGACCCTGCTGCTGCTGCTGCTGCTGCTGGGAGGGGGATATACCCTGCTGGTGCTGCTGCTATTGGAGCTTGCAGAAGAACTCTTGGCAGTGCGTTTGACCGCCAACTCATCCCCTAGCAGTGCGCCAACCCTACCACATACCCGCACCTCCAACACCCGCACTCGGGGCAGCTCAACTAGTGACGCAGGGAGGTGATTCAGGCCGTCCATCCGTGCGATCTTGACAACCTCGAGCGCCTCCAGCCGTCCGATCCCCTGAGGCAGGACCGTCACTTTAGGGCAATTTATAACCTCCAGGCTGGTGAGTGAAAAGACGCCTGAGAAGGAGGCAGGAAGGGCAGATAGGCGCGGCATGTCTTGAATCATCAACTCCTTGAGGCTTTTCAAGCAGCAGAAGCCGTCTAGAAGGGTGCCTGTGAAGCGTTTAGCTTGCACGATCTTGAAGGTTTTGAGGGACATCAGGGCGGAAAAGGACGCGGGGAGGTGGGTGAGGGATGAGCAGTGATCCAGATGCAGATAACGCAAACGCTGCATGCCGTTCCCCATTTCATCCGGCAGCGCCGTGAGACGCAGACAACTTCTCATCTCCAGATGCCCGAGGTGTGATAGCTGCGATACGGTGTCTGGAAGTTGCTGCAGCTGCCAACACTCGAGAATTTCCAGCTCCCGGAGAGCCGTCATCTGCCCGAAAGATTCAGGCAGGCGTGTGAGCTGGTGAAGGTTGTTCAGGCGGAGTTTTTCAAGGGCAATCAGCTGCCCGAAGTCCTCGGGCAAAGACGGCAGGTCGCAACAATCATCGATGGAAAGTTCTAGGAGCGTAGTAAGAAGAGCAATGGAATCAGGAAGCGCTGTGAGCTCCCTCAGGTCTAGCGTGAGTGTTTGTAGCTTTGACAACCGCCCAATCTCGTCAGGCAAAGCCGATAGTCGTGACATGTCAAGGGTGAGACTGGTGAGAGAAGGCAGACGGAAAAGGAACTCGGGAAGAGACGTGAAATCGCTGCAGCATTTTATCACTAGAGTCTTGAGTCGCCACAGATGCTCAAGGGCCGCAATGAGGTCGCGCAATCCTGTCACTTCGTCCAGAATCAGGGTTTCGAGCCTCCACAGTTGAGGAAAATTGACGGGCGACGGAAGGAGAAAGTTGGAATGTCGAATCTCTGGGACGGTGAGTGAAGAAAGCTTGGTGAGAGAAGGCGGCAGCTGCTGCAGCATCGAGCATTGCCACACGGATAGAAGGTTCAGATTGGATAGTTCCCCGAAAGATTCCGGAAGCGAGGCCAGGGAGCGGCAACCGTTTAACTTGAGCGACGTTAACGAAACCAGATTGCCGAGATCTCGAGGCAAAGCCGCGAGATTGTAAGCTTGCAGCTCGAGGCCTCTGAGAGACTGCAACGAGGTGAAGGTGTCGGGAAGTTGTGTGACGCTTGCCCTGAGGTTTAAGCTCCTGAGCAAAGTGAGTCGGTCGATTGACGGAGGAATGGTAGCACGCCGCGAACAGTCCAAATGGAGATCTTCCAGCAGAGTACACCCCTCGAACAGAAGCTCCGGGCCCTTCTCAGTTACTCCTGCGTGTCTGTATTCGCGTCCCATCGACTCCACACGCAACTCGCTCAGATGAGGACACACGTCAGCGAGGCCAGAGAATAACAAGTTAAAGGCTGGAGTGAGGCTGCCATATGGAAGAACTAGCTTTTTTAGGTTAGGGAACGAGGAAAGAAGCTGAAGGAGCCGAAGCGGATCGATACGGAGATTATTGGGCAAGTGGAGCTCGTGTTGCAAGCGGTACGCAATGTGCTGCCATTGCTTGCTGACACGTGCATGCTCCAGTTGGCCGTCACGTCGAACCAGAAAACGCAGGACTTGAGAAAGAAGCTCTTCCGGTAGCCGTTGGATGGGCGATCCTGTTAGAATCTAGCAGCAGGAATGAGTTGGATTGAAACAGAGTTGGGTACATATGCTAACCCTAACATTGGGTTGTACCCTTTATGGGCTACCCCACTACAGCCTACACAAGCATATAACTTATATAGCTTGACACACCCCATAGGCAAAGTGGGGGAGAACAAGGGGTCACAAGACCAGTCAAGAAACACAAAACAAGCTCAGGGTGGATCACAACGTCACCACACAAACTGAGCACAAGCAAAGGGCCACAAGGCCAGTCCACATGCAGAGATATATATAAGCAACAAGAGCAGTACAGTGATCAATACCTAGCAAGAGCAAGCATGCAGGTATAAATATAGAGCACAGTACACACAAAAGACTACAGCAAGTGTGGAAACGTAGGCACAAGGCCTAACAAAGTACAAAGGCGCTGATGATCACCAGACGGAAGTGCCTTGGTGAATATATCAGCAGTGTTGGCCCGAGTGGCCACGTGTGCAAGACGAAGCTGACCACGCTGCTGCAACTCTCGAGCCAGAAAGTAACGCAGAGCGATGTGCTTCGTTCTGTGCTCCAGTCTGTGCTCCTCACACAAGGCAATGGCAGCCTTGTTGTCGACGTACAGAACTGGAGGAGAACGAGGCCGCTCTCCCAGGTCGGTCAGCAGGTAGGTGAGCCAGCGTAACTCCTGAGCAGCCATGGCGGTGGCGTAGATCTCAGCCTCACAACTGGAGCTGAGAACAGAAGACGAGCGAGTAGAACGCCAAGAAACAGAACCAGAGCCAAGGCTGAAAGTGTAACCCTGTGACGACCGCTGCGTAGCCTGGTCGTCAACCCAAGAAGCGTCTGAGTGCCCAGTGAGGACCACCTCTCGCCGTCCTCCAAGCACGAGCCCCATGCCCGATGTACTGCACAAGTAGCGCAGTACCCTCTTCGCAGCATCCCAGTGCACCTTTCGGTGCCGACCAGGAGCCACGTAGCGAGCCAGAAGGCCAAGAGGGTACGCAAGGTCAGGACGAGTGCAAGTCATCAAGTACATGAGGCAGCCCACTAGCTCTGGGTAAGGACCACTCGGCTCTACGGACTCATCCGAAGGCAGAGCTGAGAGCGAGTGACCTATAGCCAGAGGAGTGGCCTGTGCTGAGGACCAGGTGAAGCCGAAGCGCTGAAGGACCTGCTGCACCATGTGTGACTGAGTCAGTGTGATGGTGCGGCGTGCTCGGTCCCGGGTGATCTGCAAGCCAAGGTAGCTGCGCAGCTCACCCAGGTCTGTGCACGTGTGTCTCTTCTGCAGCTCCGACTTCACCAGGGCGAGGGCCTCAGTGTCAGCAGTAGCAAAGACCAAGTCGTCGACGTACACGAGGATATAGAACGGCGGCAGCGAAGTGTCGGTGCGTAGAAACAGTGAAGGGTCAGCAGTCGAAGGCGCAAACCCAAGAGCCGCAAGGGTAGTCCTCAGTGTGTCGTGCCACTCACGGGGTGCCTGGCGGAGACCGTAGACTGGCCGGCGGAGGCTCCACTGGGTGCCAGGAGGGAACGACCCAGTGAAGCCAGGTGGGCGGCGCAGCCAGATCTCCTCGTGCAGGCTGCCCTGTAGGAAAGCTGTGCTGAAGTCAAGGGAGTGAAGCTCGTAGTCACGCTGAGCGGCAACGTGCAGCAGCACCCGAAGAGTAGTCATCTTCGGGGTGGGGGAGAAGGTCTGGAAAAAGTCAACTCCCTCTCGCTGACTGAAGCCTCGAGCAACGTAACGCGCCTTGAAGACAGGCGGAGAACCTGGCGGCCGCTTCACCCTGAAAATCCACATGCCATCGACGATGTTCGCCCCGGGAGGGGGAACCTCATCGACGTAAGTGCCTGTGGACTTCCAGGATGCCATCTCTGCGTCCATGGCTGCCTGCCACTGAGAGGAGTAGGGACCCGCGATCGCCTCAGCGTAAGAGCGCGGTGTGGGGATGTCTATAGCATCCGGGTCTCCCTCAGGGGCAAGCAGCATGGCCACGAGATGAGGCGCAGCGGCTGCAAGACACTCAAGGTCCTCGTGCCTGTCCTCAAGGACGTCCGTGCCAAGAGCACACTCACCCCCGACGGACGGAGGACAGACAGACTCAGACTCAGCAACAAGACTAGCAGCGTAGTCTAGACGACAGGCAGCAGCAAAGTCAACAAGCTCAGCGACCAGGGCAGACGCAGTAGCAGACTCAAACGACGGGTCAGTGACAACAGTGGCTAGCAGACGCGTGACAGTAGGGTGCTCAGCACGAAACCGGTCAGACTCAGGGTCTGCGACGTCAGGCAAAGAGGACGCAGGGGGAGACGGAAGAGGAGTACGCTCCGGAGTAGGGGACCGACGCAGGGCTACAAGGCGTGTGCCGGGGACAGCCGGCTGACGCGGACGAGGAACACGACGACCGGTACGACTAGGACGAACAGGCGAAACAGGACGCGACGCAGGCTCACGACGCTCAGCAAGACTACCTGTCTGCTCAGTGTAAGGAGAAGGAGCAGGCAGCGGTGAGCCAGGCTGTAACAGAAGACCAGTAGACGACGGGAGAGTAAGAACCTGACGAAGAACAGAGTCAGGCGGTGGCAGAGACGACGGAGACGGCGGAGCGAAGAACAGTCGTGTCGGCGCAGCTGCACCAGTACCGGCAGCTCCAGCAGCTCCAGTACCTCCAGCAGCTCCAGCACCTCCAGCAGCTCCAGAAGCTCCAGCCCCAGAACCGACACCTCCAGGCCCAGGGTCTCCAACCCCAGTGCCTCCAGCAGCAGCACCCCCAGAACCAGCACCTCCAGTCCCAGGGTCTCCAGCCTCAATGTCTCCAGCAGCAGCACCCCCAGAACCAGCACCTCCAGTCCCAGGGTCTCCAGCCTCGGTGTCTCCAGTAGCAGCACCTCCAGACGCAGCACCCCCAGCCCCAGCAGCTCCAGTACCTCCAGTACGAGCACCTCCGGGACCAGCGACTCCAGCACCTCCAGTAGACAAAGTACCAGCACCACTCCTAGCTCCAGGGACGTCAGCAGAAGTACCTCCAGCAGCAGAGCCCCGGGCTCCAGCAGCGCGACCCTGACGGCGACCGTACCAGTCGTGCAGCTGCTGCGAGGTGAGAGGCACACGTGGACGAAGGCGGCTACTCCAAGGAGACCGCGCAACAGCAGACTCAGAACCCTCAGCACCAGCACTCCAAACTGCTCCAGAACCTCCTGCGCCAGCACCCTCAGCACCAGTACCTCCAGCAGCTCCAGAACCTCCAGCGCCAGCACCCTCAGCAGCTCCAGAACCTCCAGCTCCAGCGCTACCAGGACCAGGCCCTCGAGCAGCTCCAGAACCTCCGGCGCCAGCACCCTCAGCAGCTCCAGAACCTCCAGCAGCGCGGCCCTGACGGCCAAGGTACCACTCAACCAGCTGCAGGGAGGAGAGGGGGAGTGGACGACGAGAGGGCAGCGGCGAGGCACCAGCGGAGCGACTACGGAGACGGCCGCTCCAGGGAGACTGCTCACCAGACGCCTCAGCAACCCCAGGTGCAGCACCCCCAGACTCAGTACTGCCAAGCTCAGCACCTCCAGGCCCCACACCCTCAAGCTCCGCACCCCAAGGCTCAGCACCCCCAGGCTCAGCACCCCCAGGCTCAGCACCCCCAGAAGTAGCACCCCGAGCAGGACCTGAGTCACCAGTGACCTCAACCGGCGCAGTCAAGGGAGGAGGGTCTACCTGAGACACACCTGAAGGAGCAGGACCGGGAGCGGGGAGGGGGTCTACCTGGGGAGCACCTGGAGCGAGGAAGAGCGGCGGGGGGGGGAGCGGGGCAGTGCGGTAGGGGAAGAGACAGTAAAAGGGAACCGACTCGTCGAACGTGACGTCCTGAGACGCAAAGACACGGCGCGAGGTGGGGTGGTAAAACTGCCAACCAGGCGCGTCAGGGACAAAGCCAAGGAAGACACAGGGGACAGCGCGGGCGGAGAGCTTGTCCGCAGTGGTATCGCGGACAAAGGCACGAGCACCCCAGACCCGGAAACGCGACGCATCGCCCACCTTCCCCGTCCACAGCAGTGTGGGCGAGGTCTCCGGCAAGGAGACACGGGGCCAGAGGTTGAGCTGATGCGTGGCGTACCGGACCGCAAACGGCCACAGAAAATGGGGGGCAGCCGCATGGATCATGGAGGTACGAGCGACCTCCATGACTAAGCCAATGCGGCACTCAGCAACCCCATTCTGCTGCGGAGAGGCCGGAAGCGTGAACGACTGGGTGATGCCGTGCTCCGCACAGTAGGCTGCCAAGAGGTCTGAGGTGAACTCACCGCCTCTGTCAGAGTGCAGACGCAGGACAGAAAAGTCCCGCTGGAACCGCTCGCGGAGCTGGAGACGAACAGCGCGGATCCAAGGGATCAAAACATCAGGGACGTCCCCCTTGCTGCGCAAGGGGAAGACCGTGGTGTAACGCGTGTAGTCGTCGACGACCAGTAGGAAGTACCGCTCGTGGCCCTGTCCACGGACGCGGGCTGGGCCCCACACGTCCAGGTGGAGAGTCTGCAGAGGAGCCTCTGTGGGAGGGAACGAGGAGGAGTGAGGAGCGGCGCGTTGCCGCCCCTCGACGCAAGGAATGCAGGGCGGCGCAGGCGAGGGAGGTAGGGCAGGCAGAGACCTGGGAAGACCAGAAACCAGGGAGCGAGAGTGCATGCTACGAAGGCGAGGCAGGGAGGGGTGA